AAATTATATGGTGACCGGCACGCTCCCTTCAGACTCTGCAGAAGGCAGACAAACTGGCTGTCCTCAGCAACTTTTATACCTGCGTCTGGACAGACCAAGCTCTCTGGGAGGTAAAACTGGGTTCCCACAGTCTCGTGGACTGCGTTCCTGCGCGAAACGTTGCTTCCTGCTGACCCACCCCCACTTCCGACGCGCAAGAGGCCCACGTGCAAGTACCTCCGATCGCAGCGCTGACAGCTGCTGGACGTTATTCATGTCCGGAGGCGAGATCGACAGGACGTACTTGTGACCATGATCTGCGAAGCCAACGCCTGAACAGATCGTCACCGTATTATCCACAAGATAGGTTTTGATTGCAAACTTGCACGAGGCCAAAAGGTAGGTGACCACCAAGCAAGCTAAATACTGCAGGACACCTGGATCGTCCGCAAGGCAGAATAAATCTACCTGGAACTTTTTCAAATACATCAAAGAAACCGTGAGGCTGCTCAACTCCGAGGGATCAACAACAATGACGGAGAAATCGAAAGTTCTGAAGCGCTGGGCCGAACACTGCATAAATGTCCTTCACTGTCCATCAACGGTCCCCGACGCTGCCATCAACTAGCTACCTCAGAAAGCCTTTAGGCCGCGCAACAACTCTTCAGCGTGAAAACGCCCGGCTCAGACGCGATCCTGGACAAAGTCTACAATCACGGTTGGATAAGCGTACAAAGATATTTCAGAGTATAGGGCGGTAGGGGCACGTTCCTCGGGACTTCAAGACGCTGTCATCACCCATCTTTTAAAGTGGAAATGGAAGCAACAACTATTTGTCCAGTATAGCGGCGTCTCGTTAAGCAACATCACTCGCATTCTTCTCGATTGTGTTAACAGCCACTTAGAACAGGGAATTCTCACAGAAAACCACTGTGGTCTCCGACAACACCGAGGAACAACCAACATTAGTTTCGCCGCTCGCCAGCTACAATACACGTGCCATAAGATGCGAACACATTTTTATACTACCATCGTTGATCTGATGAAAGCCTTTAATGCGGTGAATCGCGTGAACCGAGGATAATCAAACAGAAGTGCAGCAATCCTGAACGGCTCATGCACATTGTGCGCCAATTCCCGACAGGACTATGGCACGTAACTGACGTGTCGATATCCTAAGCCCTTCAGTGGCCAATGAAGTGAGGCAGGACTGCGTACTTTCTTCCAACCTTTTCTGTCTTACGTTCTCTGTCATGCCTACCACGATGAGCGGCCTCGTATTTGCATCACTGACAGAATAGTCAACGTATGCAGACGCAGACGCCTGTCTACTGCTACAGTCCACGATCTTCTCCCAAAGGATGACTGTGCCCTCAACGCCGCGACAGAAGACAGACAAAGGAGCGTACACGTCTTTGCTTCCGGCTGCGCCAACATTTTCGGTTGATGCACTAGCAGTCATTCAACGCGGAATAAAACTTCCCCAGCACCAATGTCAATGAGGGCTGAACGAAAACCTGTTGGTGAAGTGAGTGAGCATTTGAAAAAATGAGCGGATGAACGTGTAGCCAATAAAAATGCAGGAAGACCCACAAGCAGACTAGCGGGTGTATCCCAACGTTTTTACATACTATATTTCTCATTATATTATTTTAGATTACTTTTTAATTTTTTTA